GAACATAAACTACCGAAAATCAGCCGTGACCATATATCACCACTCAAAATAACGGAATTGAATATTAAATTTTCAAAAGATATATATATATATATATATATATATATATATATATATATATAGGCATTTGGAAACTAAGATGTTAGAGACACGTATGCATTATATAATGGTATTTGGGACATTTTACAGCAAATCCGATTCAGAATGCTCATAACTCCGAATAATTGATTTTTCATTTATATATATTGAAAGAGTAGATTAAAATACAAGATAAATGGGGATGGATATAGCCCATATTTTTAAGCTGTCTTATAGATTTCGTAAAATGATATTTTTAAAAAGAGAACAATAAAAAAAAAAAGTAATATTCGTTGGCTTTTTTGTTTGCTTTGTTGGGGTTCACAATGGAAAAAGATCCCTTTGCTGTTAGGTAATTCACATGAAAAAGACATCTATTCTATTCAATTAGTTTTCTACTCTTAAACAAATTAAATTATATCCCATCAACTACACTACACTTCATGTTGTAATTAATTTAATTTGTAAAATATAATTTTGTAAGTTGATATATATAAATGAATGAAGTTTTTTGTTGAACAAAAAAAAATACAGAAAATATAGAAGCCTTTTAGGGCACTGATTAAATTAGTTTTTATTTTCTTTTAATAAACGTGTTTATGCAAGATTTTTAAGAGTTGCAAGTGAATATTTGGCTTTAACAAAAGCATATAAATTTGGCTTTAGGGAAAGTAATCCAATGATTAATCAAAGGAGGGCATAAAGATCAACAAAAGCAAAACTAATGTTAATGATCAAATGTAGAGCCTAGCCAAGCTATAACCCTAAAACACAAAAGGATCCAATTCTCATGTTGCCCAATGAAAAGGCCAAGAAATCAAGCAACATGAAATTAAATTTCAGATTTCATCCAATGAATTCTCTACTATATATATGATTTAATCATATATCTCTCTCCACTCATAAACACATAATTATATGTCCAACTTTCTCCATCAAGAGATGATGATGATGATGATGATGGGAATAGAGAAAAAAAATAATATAAAGAGAGAGGAAGAGGGAAAGCAACTTGCACTTATTTGTTGGACAAATGAAAAGTATTTGTTTGGATATCCAAATCCCAAAATGCATCTCCTTTTTTTGTATAAAAAAGATAAACAAAACAAAAGGCAACCATCTTTTTCTTTTTTTCATGAGCATAAACCCTAGCTAGTAGGCTACCTGTCCAATAGTATATATGGCTACTCCTCACTCGTAATCTTCCATCTTATAAAAAAAAAATTAGGAACAAAATTTAATTACACTTAAATCTTTCAATGCCCTAAAATATGATAACAACGATCATGATCCTCCCAACAGTTTATTGCTTCAATATTTGAATTTTATTATGGATATAAACATATTGTATGAGTGTTGTTTGTATCTATACTTTCCATATATATATATATATATATAAATATTCGGTACAGTAATAAAAAGAGATGAATTAAAAATTTGTTCGTATTGTAAATGACATGGTATCGACCGCTGCGAATAGATGATTCGTTATGAACCGGTCCTTTGGCATCGATACACTCTTTTTCTTTTCAAGTTTAGTACACGTGTACATGCCAACATAAACAATGACGCGTATATATTCTCCAAAAAGAGAATGGTGATGGAAAAAAAAAAGTATCTTCAAAGAGCCAATATTGGCCATATCGCCGTATGTCTTCCTTTGGGCTTTGCCTAGGTTCTTATTCTTCGATCTAATCTTTTAATATATATATATATATATATATATATATATATATATATGATTAATTAGGTTTTTGTCTGAAACCTTGATCAAACCCGCAACTAAACATTTCGTACAGACAAAACATCAACACAAACACCCACGCTTTGTTTCTTCTGTCATTATTGTTATCTGTCTTGGAAATTGTTTCAACATATAAAAATGAAGATTAGGCTAATTAATATATAGGGAGAACCACACTTAGGATACGATATTGTTCATATTAAGAGAGTGACTCACATATTCCATCAAATCTCTTTTCATAATTTATTCACTGAACTTTGATTTCCTTGTAATTTTTTTAAGGATGATTTCATTTAAAGTTTAAATTCGAGACCCGAAAACCCTTTAAATGTTCTTGAAAGACAAATTAAAAGAATAATATGGAGTTTTTGTCACTAAATGTTAATTATTTTCCTCTCACTCGTTTCGGTGTAGCATTGCACATTAATTTTAGACGTCAATAATAATAATAATATTATTATTATTTGGTTGGTTTCTTCGGAAACATTTGCATATAAAAATTCGTCAATAAAATAGTCTAAAACTAGATTATCACCTTCAAGTTACTTGGAAAAAAAAATCTTCCCAATTCTTGGATTACGTTTGTGTGTAGTGTTGTAGAAATCTTTGATCATAGCGAATCGATGAATCGTTTTAAATCGCAAAGCCAAATATTACATGATTCCATCACATGCTATACATGTTTGATGATATTGTTCATCCACACATCTGACATGAACATATGCATTCACTAATTTATATTCTTTGAAGCTTGAAATATACCATTATTATGATAAATCATCATGTCTTGCATGAACAAATGATTTATCGACCTTATATCATATGAAAAATATTCAATTTTATATAAGAAAAGTTTATAAGTGTTTATAATATCTATAGTGAGCCCCCCATCCCAAATGCTTTGACGAATTAACCGATAAAATGCAAAAAAGTTTAATTGACATATACCTAAACATAGGCCATAAGACAACAGAACATATGATGATAGAGATAGCATCGAAGTCGAAAACACCACAAACATCATTATACCGAAGACAAACCACAAAACCACACAAAAACCTAAAAAAACCCAAACCCATCCAAGTTGCAACAAAAACTAAAAACCCTAGCTTTTCCCCCACGAAAGCATGACACTAGTAATTAGACAAGAGTGGCTGATAAGACCCAGTCCGGTATGCGGCAGATTGCAATCAAGCGAAATGAGTTTCCCTCGGAACAGCTTTGCAAATCAACGGCTTCTTCATCTCCATTGACAGCTTCAAGACCTCGGTGAGCTCAACATCACAAGACCCTTTGACCCACTTGAAGCTCTGAATCAACTGAGCAAGCCAGAGATGAACGGTGGCTAAACCCATTGCCTTACCGGGACAGACCCGACGACCTGATCCGAAAGGAGCGAGCCTAAGATCCGAGCCCATGACGCTCACATCCTCACCATCCATGAACCTCTCGGGCTTGAACTCTTCTGGGTCGGTCCAGATTTTGGGATCATGGGTTATGGCCCACATATTGACCATGGCTATGGTGCCACCTGGCACGACAGTGGGACCAACGTGGACGTCGTGGATAGCAAGCCGGGCCCATGAGAGGAGTGGTCCCGGAGGGTGAAGCCTTAGGGTTTCCTTCACAATGGCTTGGAGATAAGGGAGATTTGGGATGTCGGAATCGGAAACGGGCCTTGTCGAGTTGCTTGTGACTGAAGCAATCTCTGAATGAACTTTCTCTTGGATGTCCTGGTGCATCACCATTCTCGCAAGAATCCATTCAAGAAGAATCGCCACTGTATCTGTGCCTCTAAAGATCATTTCCTGAAATAAGAGACGTCGAAGATCGAAACGTTTCCTCAAAGATTACAACTCCAGATTCAAAAGATCCAATCACAGGGACATGAATAGACGAGCTAACTTACCCATAGAACAGCGATCATGTCGGAATCAGACAGCTTTTCTTTCTTTTGCAAGCCAAGCAAGACATCAACAAAATCAGCAGTAGAACTACCATCTTCGTCGAAATCTTCGTGGTTCCTCTTCACTTTATGTTCCTCTATGATTCCACCGACGAATGCATTCACTTCGGAGACCAAAGCTTTGCATCTCTTCCTCACTCCTTGGAAGTCAAACCAACCCAAAACAGGTAAATGATCGCTCCAGTTGAAAATCCCAAGCAGTTCATACCCTTCACTCACCAGCCTCTCAAGAACAAACCCATTTCCTCCGTCTTTATCGTCAAAATCGTAACTTTTTCCGAAAACAGTCATCATAACGTTGTTCAAAGAACCAAAGTGAATAACTTTCTTCACCTCCACTTCACCAGTCACAGTTTCAGACACGAAGTTCTTGATCTTGTTCACCATCTCCATCCCTATCTCCCTCCTAACAACCCCGAAGCTGGAGATTCTCCTCGGGCTGAACAGATGGGTCGCAGAGATTCTCCTAAGGTTCCTCCAGTACTCTCCGTACGGCGCGAATCCCATGGCCCTGTGGAACAACAGCTCGTAAGCCGATTCCTTAACCGGCCGGTCCGCAAAAGCCGAGCTGTTCAGAATCTCTTTGGCCGTATCCGGTTCGCTAGAGATCACAAAACGCGAGAACCCAACAGAGAACGCCATTAAAGGCGTAGCCTTTAGCCGTTTCGCGAGATCAGCGAGGACTCGGTGGGGAGTGGATCCGGAAAAGGCGTAGATTGACCCGGAAGGACCCGGAATCTGGACCTGGGTCTTGGATCCGACCCAGGCCCAAGCGAGCCCGCCTGGGGAGAGAGAGAAGGAGAGTACGGCCACGAAGAAGAAAAAACATAGGATAGCTTCGAAGCTCATGAGGGCGTCGGTGCAGTTGGTGAACAGGAGGTAGGTTTCCGGCGACATCTCCGGCAATTTTTACGGTCAAGAAGCTGAATCAGAAGAGAGAAAGAGAGAGAGGCGTTTTTTGAGGGTTTGTGGAGTGGTGAGTGCAAGAGGCGAAGTGCATGGGAGGAGTCGTTAAATAGATGGCGGTTTAAATGTAATCACCTTTTTTTTTCAACTTAAAAAAACTCAAATAGCGCAGAAAGCACACAAAGTTGTGATCTTTTAAATCTGAATTACTTTAAGCTTCGTATTTTTATATGTAATCAAGTATTTCATTAATTATTACCCATTGGTTCTATTGGTTTTCTTTATTTTAATTATGTAGAGTTTTCAAGAGCAAACTGCCTCGCTAGGTAACGGTAATCATTAAAATCTAAATTTTATAATGACATAAAATTTTAAATTTTGATTGGATTATTATTTTTATAAATATCGTGGTTCAAATACTTATGTCGATAAATATGTTTCATGAAAAATTTAGTAATTTAAGAATAAACCTCGTACACTAACTTGTAAAAAAAAAAAAGCAAGTTAAAACATATGAACATGGTAGTTAGTTAAGCAAATGAATATAACAATATGTATTGTGACATAAAAATAAATCATACCAAATCTATGATACAAAATCCGAAAAGAACATATTGAGTAATGTGACTCACATGTTTTGTATAGAAATCAGTTGCATCATGCAAATTGCCAGGTAAATAATCTTCAAGAGAATCAGGATGAACATGAAAACATCATGTGATTTCTATGTTAATTTACGATAAAGACCATCATATTCACAACTGTTAGATTATATTTCTATTGTAGTTCCGTTTTCGATGTACTTGAAATAACTTGTATACCCACAATATTTAGCAAAAGATTATTAAATTTCTATCGAGTTATAGATTTTACATAATGAACGTCTGTTCTATAATCCTAATAAACTAAGGCGATTATATTTTTTCATAGTTACAAACTTATATATATATATATATTTTTTAAATTTCAAAAGACAAAAGAAAATATTATAACTACACTTATTTAACAAATGAAGAAATAGTACCATTATAGATGGATGTTTTGACGTAAATATATAGTTTTGATTTATTACAAAATAAATAATACACAACCATATTTAAAACAAATATTGGTTTAATATAAAATTTTTGAATATTATATTAACCCAATTAAATATATAAACAATTTTTAAAATATGAATTAATTTTGATTTTTTTTAATAAAATAAAAAATTAAACTATTCGTAAATAAAATACGAAGAAAAATATTTTTAAAATTAGCAACAGAAATGTAGCTAAAAACCGTAAATCTACATCCATAAATACAACACATAAAAAATAAGAAAAAAAAATTGAATAAGCAAAGAATCCAGATGGGAATCACAGCCGTCCTTTCCACCATGACGAGAGCTTTCAATGGTACGGATTTTGCTAAATTTAATTTACAAAAGATTTTAAGAAAATAAAAAAAAGGACAAAATAAAAATAGTGAAATGTCAGGACACGTGTCATCGGGTAAATCGGCAGTGGAGTCAAAATCAATATCATCATTGTAACAAAATCTTTGCCGTGTGATTTTATCCTTGTAGCTTCCGCGTGGTCCTTTCAAATGCCTGATGCATTTCCCTGTGCTTATTTTCCCCTTTTTCATGTTTCTTTTTTTTTTCCCTAATAAATATTAATGTGTTTCCCATATATATACATATATATATTTAATACAAAGTCATGCGCCCATGCAATATTCTTGTTATTGGTGGAAATTTATATAGAGAACGGAATAAATAAGTTTTAAATGAAAAACGTTAGTAACCATCTAACTATTATTACAAATATATATATATATAGAGAGAGAGAGAGAAATCCAAATCGTCAGCTAAAAAAATATAAGAAAATATAGACGAGATATAATTAAATATATCGGATGTAGTGTTTACCAGATATATTTTTTTAAAATTAAACGAGGCAGCTCATCTAAACCATTATTCAGTGGAAATAGTCACAAACAAAGCTTATTATAATGCAATTAAGCGTTAACTATTCATAAAGATGACGTGGCAAGTTGGATAATGATTTATGATCTCACAAAACAAAGTTTATTATAATTGTAAAACAAAAATGGTAATACATATAGATGCATGTATACGTACACGTAGGGGAGACAAGAGGGGCTGATGATTAAGAAAATACAAGGAGGTGAAAAGGCTGACAAAAAATAATACGTAGAGAGCTCTCTGATTCAGCTGTCTTCTTGCCAGCTAAGTCCTCATCCCTCTCTTACCTATTTATGGGTTTAAAAAAACACAAAAAAATAATTTTTGTTAATTATATTTTTTATAATAATTATGTTTAATGAAACTATTGACGTATCTATCTAATAATTACAACATTATTTGTTAATAACGTATAAGTGCAATCATATGTGTATGATGGACGGTAGATTTTTCGCTTCTGTATATGCCACGGGAAAAATGGTTGAGTGGCATAAATTGATAGGAACCAATAAAACACAATATTATATAAAAAATCAAAATGACCTAATTAATATATATTTGAATTTTGAATAGTTATTTGTTTGTTTAATAAGTATAATGAATCGTAATCTTATTAAAAACATTTATCAAATATTTATTAAAAAGGGTTAAAATCGTGACTACTTTACATTAATCGCTCAAAGATAAATTCAATGATTTTGATATTTTAATGTCAATTAGAGGGCATTATAAGTAATCATTTTTTAAATTAATGTAGCATAACCCGTTTTGTATTTTTTTTTTGGTGAAATTTATTGTTGCTATTATTAAAAGGTGATAACAAAAAAGAAGCTGCATTTTTTTTTTGTCTTTTTTCTTTTTAAATAAGTGCCTTCCTAAAAAAAAAATGTTGCGTTAGTTTCTATATTTGATTTTGAGGCGTGGAGCACGAACGATTAAAAAAATAATAATAGTAAATTACCGTCACCATATCCAAGATATTTAAGACTCAAGATAAATTTGAGAAAGTTGGTTCATTGTAGATTAAAAATATTTTTAACTGACTTTTTATCACAAAATATCAATTTTGAAAATTCGTATAAATTCTGTAAATACATTTCGAAATTAAAACGTATCCAGTTTTTTAAATTCCAATTAAATCAGGCGTTTCAATTTTTTGAACGGGCACGCATCGTAGATAATTTTTTGTATCTTTTTAATTCCTTGAGATTCTCCAATAGAAATAAAGAATATTTAGGTAAAAATATAAGTTATTAATACAAGCAAATATGGGATGAATTATATAAATGCACATTATGAGGCAATGTGGCGTGGGTGAGAAAGACAGACACTACGGCGCCGTCCTGAAGCGTGAAGAAGAGTTAAACTGGCAATGAAAGGACATGACATCAGGTGCTAATTACGGTTATGCCACTGAGGGACATCTGTCCAGATGCGGGCCCCATTCTCTTTCAAATGCGCATGAACAGCACGCGCCCACAGCGGACAAGAGAGATCTCCTCTCGTGGAAGGACAATCTAGTTCGGTTCGGACCGCGTTGTTCGGAATTGGGATCCCATTCTAACTTTGTGGTTATTCCATCTCTCTTGTGGGGACGAAGCATATAGTGATTACGCCAAGGTCCCCAACCCAAAAGAAAAAAAGAAAAGAAAATTTTCTTCGACAGCAATAATGTTTTATTTTTTTTACTTTGCCGGCCAACATGTTTTTATCATTAAACCTATGTATGATTTATGTATTTTTTTTTATATAGATTATTTGTTTACTCGAATCACATACGGTTTTGCGGTTGAATCCCCAATTTTCATAGGAACCATTTACAAATTTTCGTAGACAATTTTCTAATTTACTAAATAAAAAAGATATATAGAAATAAAAATTCAAATATCGTCCGCCTCCGTAGCATAGTGGTAGTGCGTTCGCTTCGTAAGCGAAAGGTCGTGAGTTCGATCCTCGCCGGGGGCTCTTATGTCTTTTTTGCATTTACATTGATAACGACAAATATAGAATAGTACCATTGCATGCACACGTCATTTTGTGTTTATACGTACCAAGGGCTATTTATAAAGTTTTATATTACTGGGCATCGCATGGGCTTTTGACAGTTTTTGTTTCACTTCTTTTTATGGGCCGTTTTTGAGTGATATATGTATTATTGGGCTTGTATAGTTATCATCTTATTATTAGGGCCGCCGGAGTAAGTCTAGTTTCCGGTGACCAACGGATTTTTCTTTCTGATTTTAGGGTTTCTCTCGTCGAAAGAAGCAAGGAAGAATGGCGATAGAAGCCGCCCGAGTGCCGCTGAGGCGGTGGCAACAGGCGGCGGTTGCGGTTGGATCCGCCGTCGGTGCGTTGTTGGATCCGAGACGGGCCGATCTGATCGCTGCTCTCGGGGAGACGACGGGAGAACTGGCTTTCGAGATGGTTCTGGAGAGGATGAAGAAGAGTCCCGAAGGAAGGGTGAGTTTCTCTCGCTCGCTTCTCAGTCATTCGCTGTTTCATTGATTTTGTTTGGACTTGTTCAATTCTCTATTGAATAAGACGTTTTAGCTGGTAATGTTGAATAGATTATCCCTAATCTCATAACCAATTGGGTTCAAAATGATTTTCTGTTACGGTGTGAAGCTAGCCTTTTTTTTTGGGGTCTTATTTGGTTGTTGCTTTGGAGGATAAGAGGGCTGCATTTATCTTGTTGCCTTGAGCTTTTCTCTCAGATTTCGTCCCACTGCATAAAAGTTCAAGTCTTGAGCTGCATTGGGTGTAAAGTTACTACCGCTATGATGTGTTCTTGTTCGGATTCACCATTGCAATGCTGATTTTTTGCCTTGTTAATACCTCTTTTGGTTGTCTTAGGAGATTCCGGGGATGATTTGTTTGACTCTGTTTATGTGTAATTGATGGATAGATGACAATGCTCTGTTCTAGACCGTAGGTGATGAGTTCTTCACTCCATTATGGAACATCTGTCTAACATAGAACCGGCATCCCTCACCTTCTCTTTTCCTTAGGCTGTACTTTTGGAACGTCCTCGTGTTGTGTCAGCTCAAGTGGGTCATGCTTGGGATCTCCCGGCCAACACGTTTGGAGCTGCATATGCAAGATTCATGGGATCAAGAAACTTCTCTCCGGATGATCGACCGCCCGTGAGATTCATGGAGACAGAGGAACTAGCATATGTAGCCACACGGGCACGTGAAGTGCATGATTTCTGGCACACCCTTTTCGATCTGCCCACGAATCTGATAGGGGAATCAGCTCTTAAGGTGATAGAGTTTCAGCAAATGTACCTCCCCATGTGTATGCTCTCAGTCATAGGAGGCACTGTCAGGTTCAACGAGAAGCAAAGATCACTGTTCTTGAAGCATTATCTTCCCTGGGCTGTCCGAGCAGGTAAGGAGTGCTCAGATCTCATGTGTGTGTACTACGAGCGTCACTTTCACGAGGACTTGGACGAAGTTCGTAGGAAATGGGGAATCATTCCTTCACCGCGAATTCCCAAATGATGATTTCCATTCCAGAACCAGTTCTTGTTACACTTTCAGTAACATGTTATGATGTAAATGGTCTTTTTTTTTTCTGTCTTTGTATTCTTCCTTTAATATTAAATAAATAGAATTCAAAACTACAAAGATTCAAACTCCAGAATTGTAAAAATGTACCAGTTTCACAGCATGAACACAAAGGTTTTATGCTGTGATCATCCATGGGTTTTGCTGCATGGTGGGATAAAAAGAACAGGGGGTATTTTACATATTCTTGTGTCGGAAAACGCAAGCAGATCATGGAAGAAGAGCGAAGCCTCTGGTTTCCAGGGAGGTTCCATATTCATCCGCACAGCAACAACAACAGCAACAGGCTTACACTAACAGAAGCTTTATTCCGATGGTGCGATGAATCGTACACTTCCAGCTGAGGCTTGATTCGCAGCACGGTTACTTCCAAAGTTCTTCCGATTTGATTCCCGAGCAATTCTTGACCCAAACTAACAACATAATGGATCAAAATCAATAAGCTCCAAACAATATATGTTGAAATATGGAAGAAGCTTGAAATGAGATTTATCACAAGTTCTTAGACTTTGAAATATAGAATGAGCAACAAAACAATGGGACCTTACCTGTATTGCTCTTTTGGGCATCCCAGCAACTTCATGTAGACCAACCGATCGCGCAACCTTAAACCCACACAACAAGATCAACTACCTTTTCATCTATTTAGTTTCTAGTAACATCCTTCTCAAGAAAACATTGTCTGACTAACCTCTCTGAGAATCTTTTTGTCACCCGTTCCACTCGGTTGCTCAAGATTCGTGATTTCCCACAAGGGAAGGTCAAGGAGAGTCTTTATCACATCCTCGTCTAAAAATGGAAATCTTGCCTAAAATGTTGTAAGAACCTTTAGAGACCAATACGCAAAAAGAAGAAGAAGAAGATGTTTGGTACGTCGATAAAGACGACGTATTTGTAGAGGGAAACACCTCTTTTCCGATATCTGCAATGCATCGGTCATCCCTGCCAAGGTTCCTTTTCCAAATTCTCTGCATATCCAATTTCATCTCTTTATGAAGGCTAACCCAACTGAATAAACAAATAAAATAACGTCAGACGTGTTCCTCTGCTTAGGTTATATATTAGAAGCAATGTGAAAAAGCTTACAGGTATACATACCTTCCATTCCTAAACTTTGTTCTGTGCCTACCATAGCCAGCACATTGCTCATCAGCACCTGCCCCAATAAGCAGAACTCTAGCCTCGGACTTGTATTTAACACGCTGATTATCTTCTAACGTTTGATCTCTGCCACCCTTGTAAATCCAACCATCGCCCCGAGCAGCAAGCCATAAGGCTGTTCCAATGTTCAAGTCCTAACACATCATGCGCAATATTACATACTCTGTCAATCTTAAGGGAAAACACCATAATGCCACTAGAAGCCAGACTTTGGAGTTACCATGTATGTGTCTGCAGGATTTATGAGTGACATGACATGCTTTGTCTCATGGGTCAGTTTTGACAAATCAGCATCAATCTCCACCAGCTTCCACCTTAATATCCCAAAAATATTAGCATTGGTAGGTTTGCGAAATTGACCTTACTGATTGAGATTTTTACAAATGGTATCAGAGATATACCTTCTCATGGGTGCAATATTTTCAAGCTCTATTACTCCAGCCTTGGCAGATACTCTATCAGGAGCATATGGACCGTCAAAGCTGACATTAAGCAAATCAATTTCATCTACAGACATAAATTTGAAAATTAGTCAGCTTCAGATTGATGCCAGTAGAGGGGAGAGCACAGAAAAAAGTGCATAGGAATGGTTACATTTTGGATCAAGGCACTGATCCAACAGTGCAGCAAGAATCATTGAATCTAATCCACCAGAGAAAAGAACAGCTACCGGGGCGATTTCCTTGTCTCCCTATATATATTTGAAAACACAAAGGTTTTATGAAGAAATCTGATACCTTGCTGTAAAGTTAGCAATGCAAAACAAGCCTCAGATCTTAGCAACATGTTTTAAAGAATAAAGAAACACCAATAGAAAATAAACCTCAGATAATATATGAAATCAAAACTATACCTGAAAAATCCTATACATCGATGTCCTCCGCATCACAGATTTCTTCAAAGCAGCCAGTACTGTCTGCACTAGTCCTAAGCATAAAGCTTGTTAGGGACATGAAATTCTAAGAACAGCCACACTAATCTCAAGAGACTTTAAACAAAGACTAAAGTTAAAGGTAATTCATTTTCTTGCATATAGTAGCAGTACCTGAAGAAGTTGTAAGTGCACTGGATAGGTCTTCAGGCCTTGGCACAACAAAATTCCTTTCCCATTCAATCAGTTCTTTCAACATGTTACTTCTCCATTCATGTTTCGTAACTTCACCAAGAAGAGATACATCGGATGCTTCAGCCTTCATGGTTATGCTGTATATCCCACATGGAAGCTCTTCCCAAAACCTATGGTTGTTGTTTCCATTTACAGCATCTAATCCTGCAAGGAAGGGATGTCCATTTAAAAGATCCCTGCGGGAGGGCAAATGACACAAGAATTACTCAACTAAACAGGACAGACCAGAACTGTCTCTCACAGACGAAGACGGTGAAACAGAAGATAGAAGGAAACGAGAATCCTCTACAGTTGGCCAGTGGACAAGGAGGCTCCTCCGACCAAAAGCATCTCTACCAAACCACAATGTTCTCAAGCTTTCCTGTTAAAGTAAATACCCTTTTTTTTAATGAAAGTAAAATGCCCTGAACTATGAAACTAGTAAAAAGTAAAAACCCACACAAGGTACCTGCCAATATGTAATGGCCCATGGACCCTTAATCTTTGAAAGAACATCAGGAACAGATATTCCCGCTTTCCCCAGAGACTCTAAAAGAACCTCAGTGTCATTATCACAACTGTTGATGGTAATCCCTTCAAATACTTCACCTGTGAGCAAATCAGAGCAGTAAGTCTCGAAGACATCTGGCAGAAAATCCGTAAATGCATCAAATCAATCCATAAGTTTCAGAGTAAATCCACACCATTGTATACAAGAATGTTCCCGGAAGAATCCACCAACGGCTGGCTTATAGGAGTGGTTCCTCTAAGCTGTAAAGTGGAACCTATAAAATGAATTTCACCATTATACTGTGTGTTCACGAGCTCACGAGTTTCTTCACGAGTTTCAGCAGAGGTTGCGACGTTTGGTTGAAGATAAATCTTCTTTTCACCTAAACTATCGGGACCTCTTCGGCCTAACACAGCTCTGATGTCTTCAGCAGAGAATTGCAACTGTTTAACCAACAAAAACACACGTTGGCCGCTCCAATTACTAAGAGAGGATCAAATCGCCTAAATACACATCAAATGAGACAAGCGATTCCCTCTGATTTCTACAAAGGCAAACACTAATGCTAGACCAAACACAAAATTAGATGCCAAAACCAAATTCAGAAAGCCCACGAGAACGGATTCAAATTATCATCAATCGCCAGGAAAGGTTCGAAATTTCAACCAAACAAGCAATTACAAAAGAATCTAAATCTTGAACCAACAAGAGAAAGCTTCAAAATTTACGTACTGATGGTAAAACCAAATTCAGAAACTTTACTAAACTCAGCAACAGCGCAAGAAAAGAGTCAAATGCAACGGTAAGGGCTGCAAACTAAGCAAAGGGAAGATAAAGAGCATATGCGAAACAAACAGATACAAGCAATCGCGAAGACAGACTTACACGCTCGACAAAGAAGGAAGGAGAGGCCGAGAGAAAAGGAAGGTCAGACAATTCGATACGAACACCGCACAGTACTACAGCAATCCCACACATCTCTCTCTTTCTCTCTCTCTCTCTGCATCGCTCCTCTTTTTCTTTCCGGTTTATTGCAGCACTACGATTTATATTTATAAGAAAAAATGTAGCCGTTGCCTCCGTAGCATAGTGGTAGTGCGTTCGCTTCGTAAGCGAAAGGTCGCGAGTTCGATCCTCGCCGGGGGCTCTTTCGTAATTTTAGATTTTAATTTTTGTTATGGGCCCCGTGTTATGTTTTTTGTGGGCTTATATGGGCCCAATGTCTCCTATTTCGGAGAGCAATTTTCACCCTGAGTAAACGGTCATGTTGCAAGGAATTCGGTTCTCAAACAAAACAATGTGAACCTTTTTTTTTGTGGCACCACCCGAAATTTCACATATATTTTTAATGATACGATTTGAGATTATGAATTCATTGGGCTGTAACTTTTAATTCGTTGATATTTATTTTCCTTTATCTCGCGCTTACGTGGCTGCACATCATTGGGCAGTTGCGGGCACCGAACACATTTTCTCGGTTGTGTTGAATCGAGTCATGGGAAAAATATGGAAAATTCCCTCCAGATTTCGTGAGAAAGGAAAACTAAATAAATAATTGTAAACATATAAAAAACCCTACAAAGGCCCCCTTCTCTCCCCCCTTCGGAGATTTCTAAGCAAAACCCTAGAAGCCATAATTTATCCATCTCTCTCTCTCTCTAACTCTCTCCTGAATTCAGTCTGGTTGTCTTCTCATTCCCAGGTACTGCTGCTACTCACAATAATCTAGTTTTCTTCGAGTGTTCATAAGTTTTCGAGTTCATTCTTATCGTTTCTGCGGCGAAGTTTGGGCCTTTTGTCCCTTTCGACCGTGTTTATTCTATGTTTTGATATGTGGAGTTCGAAATAATTATAGGGTCTTCTTCCTTTTTTGCTTAACGGTCTGCTGCATATCTGGATCTGCTTGCATATGGATTCACTGAATGAACTTGCAAGTCCAAGTTTGTCTTTTTTTAGTATTGTGAACTGGTAGTTATTCTGAGATTTATGAACTGTTGTCCGACTCTTGGGGTATACTTGGTGTTTCTTTGTAATTGGTCCATCCAGTTGTGTCAATATCTGGTTTTAATTTGATTCGGTGCCCATGAGTTATGACAACTAGATGAATGTTCTCTTGAATTTTCGTTTTGAATACTTGTGAATCGGAGACTTGGTGCTTTTCCTTTCTAAGAGTTTATGTGGTTTAAATTCAGGGTTTATGGTAAAATGGTAAAAAAACCGGTCATTAGTTAGATTCTTCTTTTGTAGAATCCTGGCCAGCTTACTTAATTCGTTCCAAATATGACTTTTTCCTCTGTTCTTGAGTGTTTTGCTTTTGAGATGGTAGCATCATACACATGGAAACGCTTCTGGTTGGCTCAGTGTTCAACCCCAGGAGTTTTCCGTTAGTTGATTGTTTTATGACACAATCTATATCTTTGATTGATGCAGAGATGGCAGCTGAACCAAATGCTCCATCAGTTGACCCTCACATTGTGGGCAATGCGTTTGTTCAGAAGTACTACAATCATTTATATGAATCGCCTGCCGAAGTCCATAGATTCTATCTCGAGGATAGTGTGCTGGGCCGTCCAGGTCCTGATGGTGAGATGGTCTCGGTCAAATCCTTAAAAGTAAGTCCTTTTTTGGCGTTTTCAATGATGTTCAGATCAGATGTTTGGTGTTGATGTAAGAGTTTTTGTTTATTCTTTTGTTCCAAGTCCAACAAAAGATGGTCATTTTCCTGATCATCTTTTTTTTTTGCTCTCTCTATAATCTGTGGTTTGTTTATTTCTACACTGCTTCTTTTTTGTAAATACATTACCGTTATTAACTGAATATTTCATCTTGTGTTGTGTGCAGGCTATCAATGAGCAGTTAATGTCCTTTGATTACCAAAACTCAAAGATTCAGATTCTGACTGCTGATTCGCAAGAGTCTTACAAGGATGGTGTTGTAACTCTGGTCACGGGTTTAATAACCGGAAAAGATGGAGAAGGAATGAGATTTTCTCAGTCATTTTTCCTTGTGCCCCAGAAAGGAAGCTACTTTGTACTGAATGATGTTTTTAGGTATGTCTCTGATGAGTTGTCTGAATCAGAAGCTAATAATGAGGTGAAGGAGAGTCCTCAAGTAATTCAATCGACTGCCACTGTTTCAGGTGAGGTTTTGCCAATGTTTTTGTCTGAATTTAACTTCATTCTTTTTGTTTTGGATTTGTGGGATGGGATTACTGAACTCGGATACTGCTTACTATTATCAGAAGAGCCGGCAAACGAAGGTGTGGAGATGGTTAAAGAAGCAGCTGAGCAGGTTAATGTTCTCACTCAACCTGTAGTGAAACTGATAACAGAAACTTCAGTGAAAAACCCAGAAAATATTAGAGAAAATGGAGAAGCCAAGGTCTCGGAGAAAAAAGTTGTGAATGAGAACGGCCACTACCATAAAGCTTCTGAAGATAAACCTCAACAAAGTGCTTCCAAGAAATCCTTTGCAGTAATTGTGAGTTTCCTTTGTCGAAGATTGATCTTATAATGATTCTGGATGATCAAAAGCTGACCTTTTGATCATGCAGGTTCAAACTCTGGCCCAAAATGTTGCTCCTTTCCATGTAAAAGCTTCTCCTGCAAAGCCTAGCCCTGTGGAAAAATCAAGCTTTGTTCCTGAACCTAAATCTCCCGTGCCAGTGCCTGAAGATGCTCCAGCAAAAACCTCTGAACAACCATGTAAATTCACTGTTCCAATAGCTCAGAACTGTGATATCCTCCACTGCTATCTTGTTTATGGTTTACGTTTCTTCTATAACAGCTGAGGGTGGCTCGATATTCGTTGCAAACTTGCCCATGGATGCGACACCCGAGCAACTTCATGAAACCTTCAAACATTTTGGAGCTATCAAACAAGATGGTATCCAAGTCAGGAGTTATAAGGTTTGTTTATTCCTGAAATCATCTCTTCAAAAATATGTGCTTGTTTTGGCCACTGAAAGCATACTCATCTTAACCCGAAAATCTTTACTTTTCAGCAAAAAGGAAACTGCTTTGGTTTTGTAGCATACGAATCTGCTGAAGCAGTGAGAAGGGTTCTCCAGGTATACATATATACATCCATTTATATATTCATACATACATATATACATATACACACATATATATGTATGCCTCGAGTTTTCAGTGAACTTCTAAAACCTTACATAATCTGAAAAACTCCAGGCTCATCACGAATCCCCAATCAGAATCGGCCACCGGAGAGTTTCCATAGAAGAAAAACGAGGCAAGTTGAAAGTTCCTCTTATCTTCCCAACTACCCTTTTCTCGCAAGACAATGCTCTTCTCAGAACCAGACCCGGTAAAGATCCAAACTTTAGGGAACTGAAACCAAACCTTGTAAATGGTTGTTGATGTCTTGCAGGAGCCAGCAATGAAAACGGTAGACCCTCTGCAAGAAACGGAGGGTATAGGAACGAGAATGGATACAGAAACGATGGTTATAGGCCTCGGGGCAACGCGAATGGAGGGCGAGGCGGATATGGGCGAAATGGGTACGAGAGACGAGGAGAAATGCGTAATGGCGACGCTCCTAATGCCAAAGCTTATCAGAATGGTGGCTCAGCTCGAACCAGGGACTAGAAGGTTATTTCTCTGCATTTTTTGCTCATTGATTCAAGATTCTGAAGGATACAGGTAGTGAAGAACAGACGAGTTTACGGATTTAGATTGTTATTTTGGTCAAGTATCTTGCTTTTTTTCTTCCTCTTGAGATTTTGTTTTTGGATGGTTTCGATTGAGAATTGATTCAATTGCAGTTTCGTGGATTCTTTTCTCCATCTGTTTTTGTACGTACGATCTTTCGTCGGACTGCGGGTGAGTCTTGCAAACGACGCCGTTTACGAGTCTCCGACTGCGAAGAGTATATTAGCCAATAGATTAATGACACGTGTTTTTTGGGATTTCTCAGAGATTTTCTGGTCCCCGCTTTACTCAACACCATCCATCCGCAAGAGATTTCACTCATATAGGATCAATGCTTTCCCTTAACTTGTAATTGAATCTAACAGGTTTTATTTGTTATTCAAATCGTTAAAAATTTTGATGGGAGACAGTTGAACTAGTTTATATAATTTATAGACTTAGTTTTGAAATGTATTGAGTTTCTAGGGTTTAAATAACTCTAATATTTGTAATTATAGAAATTGTAATCTATAGAGTTAAAGAAGATTTGACACATTTATATATTAATCAATGTGAAGATTTTGCTAATTTGTTTTAAGGTTTATGTGTATAAAATTCAAGAATATACCCGGAATACCATTATTATTGTGTATCGGCCTAATAATAAGCTATGATCCACTTTATTAAAAAGGAAATCAATTTAACTTGGAAAGATCAGAATCTTTTCAACAGCGCTATTTATTTATAAATTAATAATTTGTGAGATTTAATAATTGGCCAATAATCGAATAATGCTTAGCAAGCATACTCTCTATGATATAAAGTAGTCTTTATTATTATATAATTGTAGAGTAAAACATAGTTATAACGCTAATAATTTAAGTAATTTTCAGAAGGGTATGTTCTCCGCCACTTTGCGGAGGGCTTAGACTAGAAGCAACTTGACTTCCGGTGGGTCCCACCTCGTGAGTGACGTTGTCGAGTCGCCGATTTATCCCAACGCCAGAATGTCACTTGTTGCCCCTCCAAGTAAATTTTATTTTTAGTTTTTGCAAGATATTATTATTTTCTGAAATTAATATAAACTTTTGTTAAATACTGCGATGCATCTATTGCCAAAAAAACCATCACGACGATTTTATTCGTTCCTTTCGAAATTTGAGAAGAAAAAAGGAAATTTCGTTCGGAGAAGAATCTTTCACAAGGGAGAACACGTGTCATCATTCGGGGTGAACGCAGTCGCTTTTCGACACGTTTCCACAAAGAGCACCATGGACCGCCGACGTAATCACCTGCCACGTGTCGCTCAGACAGCTCTCCCGGCGTCCACTTGCTTATGCTCGGCCCAGGGCTTCTTTCTTCTTCCTCTCCTCCTCCCTTCGTTGCCTCTTTCTTTTCCCCCCAAAGGGTTGTTCTTGTTATTGCACATATTGTTTTGACTTCTCTCTCTCGCGCGCGCTCCCCCATTTGCTTCGCCGTCTCTTGAAGCTCCGACAAGTTCTCGTTGGATAAGTTGGTTCAACTGTTTATCCCGTAAAGTCTCTCTCTCTCTCTCTCTCTCTCCCCCTTGGTTGTAACTCAAGTTAGCCATAAAGTGCAAACAGAACGTTTCTGATTCTGGGGGTTTGATATTTTACATATTCTGGGGTTTTTTTCTGCAGAATTAATGGTAAATTTCAGAAATTCTCTAGATGGGTATTTCCGGATCGGATTAAAGTCTCGTTTTTCGTCATCTTTTATGGTTTCCTCCTAGCAATTGCGTCATCACTTGAGAAGCATCAAAAGCAGAAAAAAAAGGAGAAAGCTTTCCATTTGGTTTCCGGATTTTATGGCGGAAGCAAGCGGGAATGAAATTGGAAGGAGCAGAGAAATGGCGGTGGCCACTAATCTATCTCTGGATATTGATAGATTTCCGAGAGATCTTTTGCGAGGTTTCAGGTCCGGCGCCGCAGATAACGACGGAAGAAGTTTCCGTAGTAAAATGTTTTATGGGGAAGACTGTACGGACGTCGACGAAGAGAGCGAGATCGAGCTGAATCTGGGTTTGTCACTGGGAGGCAGATTCGGTGTGGATAAGACTCCGGGGAAGCTCAAAAGGTCGTCCTCGATCGTGGGCACGATGCCGATTTTCTCGGAACAGGACGAGACTTCGGCGGCGATTCAGCCGTTGGATTTGACGACGCACACGTCGGGCTTGAAGAGATCGACGTCTTTGCCGACGGAGATGGAGGAGGAATGGAGGAAGAGGAAGGAGATGCAGATGCTGAGGAGAATGGAAGCTAAAAGGAGGAGATGTGAAAAGCAGAAGAGTGGCAGAAGCAGTAACAGTGGCAATTCCGACGGTCTAACGGCTTTACTGCAGAAAGATCTGGGTTCATCAAAGCAAGGGTCCGGCGATTCCGACGGCGGAGGACGAAGAAGAGGTAGTTCCTCGAGCTTGTCGGAGCTGGAGAGCAAGAATCAACAAGGTATACCTCGAAGATTCTAGAAGAGCTTCTTTGTCGCATGTTGATCATTCTTGTCTTTTTTTGTGGCAAATCTCGATGAAAGTCATCTTCTTTTACCTTTCTTTCATGGAGGCTCATGGTGGAGCGCTAATTCCATATCTGAAAGTGAAGGAAACGTTTGATTCTATAATCCGTCGTATGCATAAAAAACATGTCAATAGAACAGGAAGCATTAGGAAAGATGTCTGATATTCAGACAGATTCATTTGCAGCGATCTTCTGCTTAGATATTTTTCTTTCTGACACGCCTATTTGTCGTGAAGGATCATCAAACAATTGTGGTGGGGAGGGAAGAAGCCTCAGTATAATAACAGGATGTTCCTCTCAAGAGAGGACCGCCCGCGAGACAACGGATCAGAAACCGGACATATCAGAAGCCAAAGCAGAAGAGACAGAGAAACCATGGAAGGACAGAAAGGGAAAGGACAAGACGAGTGAAGTGCAGTTGGAGATGCCTTGCGTCACCACGAAAGGGGAAGGACCGAACGGGAGAAGGATCCAAGGGATTCTCTACAAATACGGAAAGGGAGAGGAAGTGAGGATAATGTGTGTCTGCCATGGCAGTTTTCTTTCTCCTGCCGAGTTCGTGAAACATGCTGGCGGAGGAGACGTAGATCATCCTCTTCGCCATATCGTTGTCAATACCTCGACCTTCTCTTGATCGCTCTTTGGAGAGGGACTGTTCAAATTCGGTGTTGGTAGCCTTATGTTCATCTCTTTTCTCTTGGATTTCTGCCTCGGCTCTGTAACTGTGTACTCTTCATTGCAATTAATCCTAACGAGGAGAGAATGTTTAAGATTACGTCCTTGCAAAACAAAGCTGAAGCAATGGCCCACGAAATCCAATACAACAAAAGGATGTCTAAATCAAATGATTTCTTCTTTACAAACACTGGCTTTGGGAAGTCAGTGCTTTCCAACCTTCAGAGAATACACTTAACAGGAGATCGATGACAAAGATCCTATGATGGGTAACATCTCTATTCTCAATTAGGTTCTAAAAAACATCTCTTGGCACGATCAGTTTTAACGTTTTTCCTAAGAGCAGACGTTCTTCAAGAACAGGAACAAGAAGCATGTGAAGAACAACACCAAGGGCAAGGAGGAAGACAACACAACCATCTACTTCTAGCTTGGTTTGGGGTTGTCTCCATTGATGCATTCACTTTCTGTTTCTTCAGATCGTCATCTTCTGCGTCTGCTGCTTCACTTTTAACTCCTTCCGCCAAACTGCCAAATACCCAAAAAGCCCCCATTCATTTACCCCTACGAAATGACAAGAATAGAACCCAAGGTTTCTCCTTGTTGGTGATAACTGAAGGAGAATGGAATGAACTTACATAGGGAAGGAGAAGGAATGTGTGCTGTTTGAGCTTCTGTTGGAACGATACGAAGTGGTAGGAGATCTCCAAGAAACAGCAGGGTGATCTGCCGTTTTCTCTTTGCTTTCTTTCTTGACCTCTTTAGGCGTTTCTACTTCTTTCTTGGCAGTGCTAAGGGTCTTCTTTTTAGGTTCGATCTTTGTTGGAGGAGTCAGAGAGAGTGCTGGACTGTAGGGAACAAGCTCGCCTGATTTGAAAAGCTCACCCGATTTCATGAGATCACCATACACGCTAAAACTGTTGTTTCCTAAGTGAATACTGAACAACGACTCATTTGAAGCACAGCTCCATTCGGCTGGTAGATTAGACTTGCTCCTGTCGAAAACCGAGGCTGGAATCCTACTTGGATCATAGCCTTCAGGCGCGTTCCTGTCCATCACTTGGACAGGAGGTGAATCCGTTGGGGATACATCTGGCTCGTCTGGTCTGGAATTTGGATCTTTACTACTATCCGCCTCCTGAAGACCCTTTAATGGTGTGGAAGATGAAGACGAAGAAGAAGACGATGATCTCAAGGGCAACTCTGAATGAGTACTTTCCGTCTCATCACGCGGTGATGCTCCCGACTCTGTTCTTGAATGTCGCCTTTCTCCGTTTCCTTCCCCAACCACTGCATGATCTCCTGCGTTATGTTTGCTTCCACTCCCATTTTCTGTGTTCATAACTGACGCCATCAAAGAATCATCAATGCTTCATACACAAAAAAAAAGGAAGAAAAGAAACCACTTCTACATACAGCTCAATAATTGTTACATGTTTAGGGATCTACTTCATCCGAAAAATTTTGAATAGGATCGAAGCTGGCAAATTCACGTAAGATGTATCATACTCCAAAGTTCATCCATTTTTTTTAATCCCGATTTCATCCAAACAGCAGGCAAAACTCCTGAATTAGGAATGTTCCGTTCTCTGTCCTACACAACCTGCCTCACGTCCCTAATTGACGAACTCGAAACCCGAAAACTATCATCTATGGAGAAGGTTACGAAACAAACAACGGAAAACGAACAGATGTTCTTCGTTGCAAAACAAATTGATCAGAAACATGGATAAATATCGGAAGATGCGAAACAAACCTGGGGGAAGAAACATATGACCAAACGAACCCAGAAAGAGCGCGATCAGTTGGATAACCCTGACCCTGAGTGTGATCGTTGAGATTTAAGATTCACACTTGATAGCTGTAAGATTTCGTCTGTTAGGGAGAAACGGGAGATATAACGAGAGAAGTTTTCTTTTGCAGAGAGAAAAAGGGGATTTAGGGTTTCGTAATTTGGGGATCGTGTCCATGGCGTGGCAGTGATCCGATTACGGAAGGCTTCTCGCAAAGTTCGGACGTTTTACCCAACTAACACCAAAGCTGCATTTTTATTTGTTTGTTTGATCTCCTGTAACACTGCTCATTCTAGATACCGTGTTCTCTCCATTAAATAAGCACCACGTGTCACGTCGACGTTGACCCTCGTCTTGGTGAAAAACGATTCGTAACTGTACTGAACGAGCTGAATCAGCTGAGACTGGAGTTTTGGAATTCGATCCGCGGCAGATCGAGAGCTGAAAGCCCGATTTGGGTATTTTCGATTTAGGGTTCTTCTTTTACGCGATCCCGTGGTTTTTTTGTCCGTTGTCTCTGGGATGAACGTGGAAGATTCAGTAAAATCCTTCCACGTTTCAGTGGGTTCTTGTCGTAACAGGTATAGGATGTGGATTCTTGTGCTTTAGGTACGAAAAAGTTTCCCCATTGTAAACTTTCCATGACGATAAAGATCACAACTTTCATCTGTTTTGATTAAGGAGACAGTATCTACTTTCTGCGCCTTCGTTCTCCACATCATGACAATGTTGTCATGAGAGAATATGATCAATGAATCGAAAAATCAAAAGAACCATGGCCCACAAGGTGCCAAAAACTAGAATGATTTCTACTTGCAATCTCAGAGCCATCTCTTTGAGAGAATTGCAGGGTTTGTCAGGTCTTATTCGTCAAGGAATTCTCAACAGATGATTCTACGAAGCAAGTGTTGTAGCGGGGCAGCTATCGACGGTGCAAGCCAAGATATCTCTGTAATCCCTGGATATGCTGAATGAATCGTAGACTTGGCCGTCTTTGCTTCTCTTGTACTCGAGCAGGAGGTTGGAGTGATCAAACGCTGTAAGTTTAACAAACCCGTAATCATAATCTCTGTAAATACTCCAGTTTGGTTGCAGCTCGGAGAATTCACCGAGACCAGCTCCTCCACCTCCAGCAACTATATGTATTGTACCGTTTAGCATACCCGTGTAGTTGTTCTTCTCTTTGTCGGTGCATATATTCTACCAGGAAGGACAGAAGAAAGAACTGGTAAGAACGTTCTTGTAGTACTTTATTCTATAGTTAAAGTGGGTTCAGAGAATTTTACCTGGTAGACTGGGCATGTCCTTTCGTAGTTATGGGCATGGCCATAGATGGCAATATCAACCTTGTACTTCTGCCAGAGCTTCTGAAGGCTCTCTCTACCCATTGGTTCACCAAAAGAGCCGTCTACTGCATAAAACGACGTGGAGCTATAGCCCAAGACGCGATGTGCAAGAAATATCAACCATGGCTGCTTTTGTCTGTCAACTGATGCTAGGCAGTGCTCAATGAAGTTATACTGCTCAGATCCTTCTCTCCAGTCATGTTCTGTGTCAGCCACGCAAAACCGGAACATCCCATAATCAGTTGAGTACCTGGTAAGTGGAAAAAGATCAAATAGTTCTTAGGACAAGAATATCGAGTACAAGACTGAGAAAGATGATGAGATGATTTGGGATTTGCTGAATATAAGTAAATGTAACAAGATGAAACTCATGAAGAAAGATTGGAAACAGTAGAAGAAAAAACATACCAGAACTTAGCTCTGTTTTCTGCAGGGACATAGAACATTGTCTCAGCTGGTACACCACACTCTCCTCCTGAATCCAAATTCTGATAGAAGGATCCAGAGTTTGGCCAGTCACGCTCATGGTTGCCGCTGGAAGTAACTTCACCGTCAGTAACAGGTTAGAGAAAAAAGAGGTAAAGAAAGCAGAACACTGACCTTGCAATCATGTACGGAACAGCTGAAGCAATAGACTCGACCTGTGCTGTGAATTGATCCCACTGTGAAAGGTACCCATTGGCATAACAAATATCTCCAATGTGGAAAACCATATCCATGTTCTTCAAATCTTGAATAAGTTGCTTTGTGGTGTTGAGAGAAGCACGTTGGAAATCGTTGTACTCGTTTGAACCATCAATCTCAGCCTGTAATGCCCAAGCAAAGGTATTAATTAGTGTGCCTTCAGACATTACAACCATGAACAGTTCGGGCACTTCAGACTCAAGACCAAACCTTTCCCATGTCTCCAAAGATCACAACACGTTGGAGAGAGTTTTGACCAGGAAAGGGAGAAGCTTTGAACTGATATTCCTTACTCCATACGAACTCACCATTGGAGAATCTATGCCCGACTTTGTAAGTATACCTTCATTACAGTCAAATAAAAGTTTTAGCATTTGGTATTCGAGCTATCGACTGAAGAGTATCAGAACAGGGAAGACATCATATAGATACATGGCATTAGGCCAGAGCTCTTTGAGAAAGCCTGTATGTATGTATCCGGGATCACGCCATCCAACTGTCCTTGCAGGTGCACCTGTCAGTATCATTTTGGGACAAGCTTATAGTTACTGTCTTGTAGCTTTCTGAAAACATCACCATGACAGGTTTAACAGAGAAACATACCGCACATGCTGTTACGCCCAAATGTCAATGTCCCGGCTGGGGAGAGTTTAGGCTCTCCTCCTTTCATGCCCCACTCAACAACAGGTTCTGCTATGTCAATACTGTATCCACTCGTCCATGTTACCGTCATCTGTCCAACAGTTTCGAAATTTATTTCCGCCTTCCTTTGGATATTTTAAGGTTTGAATTGAAGGGCATACTCAGAAATTTTCTAAAGCCAGCATATTTTTCATCATTCTTCAACAATGGCTGATCAATGAGTTCTGCCATGATGGTGGCATGTATGTATGTCTGTATGCACATGCAGTTTTCCATGTAAGATTGATGAAGTCAATCCTGAAGAAAAACCGAAAAACTTACTTCATTCCACTCTTTTCCTTGTGCCAAACGCGGGTAGACAGGAGCCTTTGGGTTTGAAAAGACTACTTTGTTTGATACTGTAACCAGTTTTGGCTGTCAGATCACCAAAAAGAAACCAAGGTATGCTATTAGTTGAGTTTTCTGCAAGATTTGCAAACGAAAAGAAGTTGTTGGAGAATGGGAATTACATTCAATAAGCCGCCAGAGAAAAGGGCAAAGGAGAAATCAGATCTCTGGTTTATCAGTAGAAACTTCAATGCCCCATTCCCAGTGATCTTGTAACTTGGACTGCTATAGTTTGCGTATTGGAACTGTAAAAGGAAATCATTCAGAATTTTCTGAAAAGAAAAACCAGAAGAAAGGGAACATGGCATGACATTTCAGAGATCAAATGGAACCTTGATAGGGGCAGAACACAGTCGGGGTGGATTGACCATCTTTGTCTCTGCTGGACAGTTTGAATCACTGCAAGAACAGGGGAGTATTAGTGTTTTACTCTTCATATTAACATGTAACATTTGATTTAATCAGTGAAAGTGTAAAGCATTAGACAAGAGGGATATGTATCTATTTACTTGAAATCTCCAGGAGAGAACACACCGATCCAATCATCATCAGATGGGTGTGGAGAACTGTATACCACTGTCACCCACTCGGCATTTTGACCCTGAAAAGGCATATGATTTTTCATCATCGGAAAACTAGGGAAA